AAATATACTTTATTTTTTTATTTCTGAAATATGTTGTAAATGCATATCAAATTATGGTTCTACATTATAACTGATTTAAATTACTCAAATTATATGCTGAATACTTTATATAATTCTCATTCTAGCTGTGTACTCAGTCGGTCATCTCCTAAAAAGCAAACCTACCTAATAACTATTTTCATCCAATTTTACTTGAGAAAAAGAAATTAAGTTTACTTTCCTGATACATACATGTACATGTATTGTCCTTGTGAGAGATATTTATGAAAGCTTTTTTATCTTCAATTTTAGCTAATTTGTCAAAAGTTATATAAAAACATTCTTATTTTTGTTTCAGGCTAAACTCGGAACAAAAAATAATGATATAATTGGAAAGATATTCTATTTATCAAAAATATGAAACTTTTTAAAATTTCATTTTGGCTCAACTCAGAACAAAAATTTTGATATTATCAAAATCTACAAATTTCCTGGTCAATTATACAAGGAAAACCAAAATCCATGCATGCCTCACACATAGTTTAATGACATACAATACTGAATAATATTCGTTTAATTGATATAACATTGCACAAATAATGATTTATGTACATAAATAACAACTTGTGAAGGTTTTGTTAATTGCCTCTTTGTCTTTGATTGTTTACAGTACTAGAGTGATAAATGTTTGTCACTTTTCCAACAACTGTTAATTATCCTTGTCAATATTGGTTTAGTTCCAAAAGGGAGGTAATTTATCAAGAGCCATAACTCTGCATATGTATATATAATCATAATGAAAAAAAAAAAATTTGAGCAAACTTCCTTAGCAACCTGGTTTACCAACTATTCATTTTCACTCTCATTTTTAGGGCTATATTTGAACTTATCTAGAACATTTTATGATGATAGGTCTCCTTAAAAAATTTATGGGTAATTTTGATATTCAAATTTAAAAGAATCTGAAGCAGTCTGCTCCTTCTATTAAAAGTTTATGTTTTATATAATTATATAAAAAACTAGATATCAAACATGTATGGATAAAAGTATATTATTCAAACATGCTTAAAAAACAGCCCTTTTATCAGCCCAGAATACAACCAATTTCAATGTAAACAAATATTCTAAGAATCGACTTACCTAATCGAAAGACTTATTCCATGTATTTCAAATCAAAGTAAACAACAAAAAAACAAGCCAGGATAATTTTTTTGTCAAAACAAGCTTCATCACGATGACTTGAACCAATGATTATCCTGCCGAGACAATTATCACATTCCACAGAAAACACTTGAAAATTGATGTCTATTTCCCCTTCTATAACTGGATGAAATTGACAATGTTTAACACCTGCTTAAACATTCAAAAGACTTGAATAATCTGTATCAAATACAAGCTCTGTCAATGAAACCAATTCATTCACTTACTCTAATTACTTGCAACTTCCTCAGTCTTGACTCCTCCCACTAGGCTTAGATTGTATAAAAAATGTTTAGATTTTCAAGTATTAGCTTTAAGATACTGCTTTTCTATTAAGAAACAGCAAAATTGTTGACCTGTTGGCTTTTTTCGATTGTCAAAAGTTCATAGTATTTGGTATCAACAATCAAGATGTTTTCTTTCTATCAGTAATTAGTTTTGAAAGAATAACAGATGAATGAAGTAATTGTCAGAATGTTCTCTTTTACATTATTGTAACTTAATTAGCATAAAGCCGATTTGTTACTAAGTGTGTATCTTCTTTAATTCCTTATGAAATAGATTATATATTAAAGCATATTGGCAAGAAAATTAATCTTAAAATCAAACAGATAGCAGCTACGATTTTCATTAAATTATTTTTTTTAGTTTATATGCTGGGTATTGTACTAAAAGTATATTAAGTATAAATAAAAATATATGAATTGAAAAAAAAAAATATTAAAGAACAGAAAAAATGTGCTTGATATATATATGTTGTAAAAAAAGTTGGAACAAGCATGTTTTTGTGAATAACCCAAAGAGCATTCATGATTTAAAAAAAAAATGCTTTCACACACTATAACATTGTGAAAATCAAATCTTTCCCAAAGACCTTCAGACATACACACATCAATCTTACAGATAATTTCATGTCCAAATCACATCTTAGAAAAATATACAGATAAATCTAGAGAAAGAAAACAGAAGTCAAGCATGTTTTACATTTTTCAGTAAGAGAATTGTATCTTCTTATCTTCAAACATATCTATCAAATTTCTACCTACTTTGAAGAAATATCATCGATACTTTGACCCCTACCCTCAATTACAAAACCCAAGATTGCTTCTAAAATAAATTATGTCATCAAATCTATGACCCCTGCCCTGCATAACAAAACGTGAAATTGCTACCTAAATACTTTTCTTATAGTAACTATCCGTAACTATATTATCACACAAAACATGTGTTAAGGTAAATTCCTTTAGATCTATCTTAAATTACCTATAGAAGTGCTAATTTCTTGATAATTTGATGTAATTTAGGAAAATTTGTTTTTTGTATTGGGTGAAAGTGATCTCGGATCCTATGGATCTCTTTCATATTATAGTTGACTCCCCTATTAAAAGCTCGTTGACCTACCACTAGTAAATTACTACAACCGGTAGTTATATTTCTGTTGTAAACAGTGATCCTACAATCATATCAAACCTTTAACGATTTTATCAGTAGTATTTATGACATAACTTACTTGACAAACAAATTTGAAATACTACAATGTCTTTTATAGCAAAAAAAAAGCAATACATGTTTATTTTTGACAAATATGACATAATTTGTAAAGTCTAACAAATCATTTTTCTAATTTAGCTCATAATTAAAATTTTTGTAATATAATAACTCTACCTAACAAAAAACACTTGACTATGTGGTCTCATTTCATAAAATCAATACTAAAAAATTTGACATGCGAAAAATTATTATAAACCCATATTTTTTATTGTCATAAAAATTGAACTAGTTCTTGGTAATATTAAGTATTTGAATAGATTTAATAACTAATGGCATTTATTATGTTTCTATACAGAACTTCTCAATTCGATAGGTTTTTTTGAGTGGGCAACAATTGTTATAGATATGAAATCCAATGTCAATTATCTCAGATGCATGTTAAAAATTCTAAACAAATTTTCAAAAGCTGTACAATTAAAATACAAGAGCTCAAAATTCAGGGTGCACAACTTTTGAAGTATTTATTTAAGCCTTTTCAATCCCCTGTTATTTGTGTATTGAGCAATCTATCAGTTATTCTGGGTACGTTGATGATAATTTCAATCAAAAACTTCATACAAAATTTAATCATGTCAATTTCAACTTGAAATTGATCATTATTAATTTTGTGATGTCACATCGTGAATGATGGACAGACAGAAGAGACAAGTACTGCACCTGAATGCACCATAAGATGACAGAACAATGTCGTGGTACTGAAATACCAGAAGTGGTTCGAGATTTGGACTCCAATGAACTTCTTATTACGCCTCAATCACTAAACTACTTGCAGATCTTGTAGTTAGTTTTTCATTGCTTTGAGATTAATAAGCAATAACTTTGTGCATGTTTTGAAATATTTTTTTTTTATAAACCTCAAACTCAAGGAAAGTTCCCTAAACAAATCTAACTTTTGAAAAATCTATTTAAACTAACTTAGACTCTATTTTTTAACAGCAACTTTTTGAAGTGACAGGTTTGCAAGAAAAAACAGAACATTAAGAGTATGTGTACTATCTCATTCAACACATAAATGAACAACGAACCATTCACAACTTCCATAAGCCAGAAAGGGCCTGTACTTCCTCTATAAATCACAAGGATTTTAGGTACTACAGTTCTAAAACATACCTTTGAAATTAACCTTCTTTTAACTCTTTCTTCCAAAATCTATTAACATTAGACCCATTAATGTGAATCATCAGTTAAAAGAGTACATTTCATCAGTGGGATTTACAAAATATCCATTTTCTTTAATTAAATATAAAATTAAGCAGTAAATAGAAAGTAACAGATTTGTTGAAAAACAAGTGCCATGCAATCATCGTCTTACATAAACCATAAAAATCTAAACGATCAGCTGTATTTATTTTGATAATTTCCCTCTTTCTTTTAATTACCAAACACCATGAAACGAAGCCAGTTTAATTTAAGTCTGATGCCCAAAATGTTCCCACATGTTAAGGGTTGAACCAAACTACAAGACAAAAAATATTAAACAGTTCTTCAACTTTTCATCTCCGATTTAATGAAAGTAATTTTCTGCTGTCATTAATTTATAAATAATTTGAGCTTAGCTAACGTTTCTGATAGTAACCAGATTGGCTTTAATTCCTTCTGATTATTTTCTTAGGGAAGATGAAGAATTTGTTACTTATCATCTTACGGAAACTCATTTAGATACTTAATTAGCCTAATCTGTTGCTTTTAGATAGAATTAGAGGATATGGTTGCTTCCTACCTCAAACATTATTGCAAAAATAGAATGTTTTGGAAATATGCAAAAACTTTGAGATCAAAATGACAGATTCTTAGAATTTGATATCATAATTTTCTGATATTAAGATCTATAAATATAACATATTACTGTACTGACTTTTTTATTTAAGCTATTGAGTATCGTTATATTCAAAATATAAAAGATAAAATTCAATTTAAACAAGATAAAAGTTTTCAACATTGGAAAATTCTTCGTGAAGATTTTGTGTATGCCAAAAACCTTAGCAGACTTTTATCAACCAGTTTTATAAAAATAATTTTTTCCAATGTATTTTTTTAATACAGCCATGAACTATAATCCATTTAGGACTAAATTATTGTAAAACTTTTCAAATAAACTTACCTTCATCACAATAATTCATTCCATTGTTAACATAAACTTAATAAACTGGTCACCAGTTAAAATGAAGTCATAAGACAGTGTACCAAATCACGTCCATATCACATTAAATCAATTACTAATTAAAATAAAATGTTCTTTGTGGTTTTAATTTTAAGATAAACTTGCCTACCTGGACTTGTGTGCAGCAGTCATGTTATACTCAAACAGGAAATAAATAAAATATAATAAAAGAAAAACCGCTATATCCACCTCTGCGATTTAAAATATTAAGATAGATGCATGCAATATGGGGGACCTCACAACAAAAAACGGTTAAACTCAGAGGAAACTGATACCCATGTCTAATCAACCGACCAATCAAGGATCATTGATTAAAAATAAACAAAACAACAATTTTGACGGGGAGCCCTTTAATAACATACTATCGTGGCAATCAGCATTTATTATTATTTGCTTCCGATTAAATCTGAGTGACAAACAATCGTGACTTGTTTTGTGTCTAGAGAAAAAAGACCTAATCAAAACCAGAGCATAACAGGTACAATGATACAAATAGAAAATTAACCAGACAAATAAAAACAGCTTGTGGTCAGTGTATTATAAGGATGGAGTTAATCTAAAGTTTATTTTCTTATTGTGTCCAGGTGACAAAAGTTGCACTAATATGTTAAAAAGTTAATCTACTTAAAGGCCAATAGCAGGTTTAAATATGTTGCTTTCAATCAAAAATAATTTTCTGACCCATTGACTATTACAAAAGTATTGGTTTATGGGATAAATTTGCAGATTTAGAGATTTAAATGCCTTCATTCATGATCTGGTTGACACGTTTGGAGAAAAGGCGAACAAGAGGCTTCTGCCATTCGACAATAGTCTTAAAATTGAAAGCTATGTTACACGAAATCCATCAGTTTTTTGTACCTTTTTAAAGATGACATTTAGCGTATTTTTATGACGTTTTGACACAAAGAAACATATTAACACAGCAAATTATCTTTTAAATAGAAGATCTGGTGTGTCAAATGTGACCATAACATTCACATAAATGAGGTATTTCTAAAAAGTATTGCAATAAAGTTTTTTTTTATAATTTTCAAATGTCAACAATTTTTACCCTAGATTAACACAAATGTATAACTTGAGTATAAAAAAGAAGTAAAAAATACTGTTTAAAATCACCAAATAATAAGTTTGTATACATTACAAGATTTGACACCACTATCTTAACATTTGCACAATGTTTAAAACAGTGACCAGTTTAATTGGTTGAAGAAACCTTACAACCCAATTTAGTAAAGTCTACCGAAAATCTGTTAGCAGCTATGGGCTAAATTAAATGATGATAGATCCATTAGTGATTTTCTTTAAAAAAAAAAAACATTAATGAGACTCTCAAATGAATATCATAGTGGTCAATAACTGTAGGTTAAGTAAATTTTCACCAAATCCACAACTTTCTCTGACTATTCAGGGACTGAGGTCTTTATTTCTAAGGTCCCACATACTAAAATAGATTATACCCCTACATGTATATACAACCGATTCTCTAAGATGGAACTTAAAATTGAACCTAAATTGATGATAGGAGTTTTTAACGACCTTGACTAGCTATACAGCCCTCCACAGTTGGCAACCTAAATTTACTCTTAATTAATCAATTTGTTAGCAGTTTTACTAAACATGACTCAAACTTTGAATCTCTAAAGAGGAGAATAAAATTGGTGAATACTGTAACAACTAATTCCACACAAGACTACTCAGCAAGTAAACTATGAAGAAGAAATAATAATGAAGGTACAACTTCTGTGGTTTATATGAAATCATCATTGGTTTATGTGGTTTTAAGATTAACACATTTGGACCTATTAATGGAAAATATAATTTCTTTCGTACAAAATTTACTTAATTGTGGTTGGAAGTAACCACACAAAATATTAGTACCCAGCAAGCCATTATACTTTCAAAGCATATCATTCATTGAAGTTTCATTAACTTACCCAAATTTACTAACCTTTAACAAATTCTGTTCTTTTCTATTCAACACAAGGAATACTTGTTATTCAATCTGAAACAACAAAATGACATAACTTCCTTATATAACTTCACATACCATGATACTGAATTTTAAGCAAAATCTCAAGTAACAATCTGACCTAAAAGTGGTGTAAAAATGCCACCTGACTGCTTAAATACAAGACTAACAGGCCAATTTTTTTCCCTATTAAATTTTCAACTTTTGAATAAATTGTCACTTTTCTATTTAAATAAGGATTTGAGCCTATTCAAATTCTAATCATGTGTATTGTTGTCATGATATGCAAATATAAGTTGACCAAAGCAACACCATTTGTCTCCAAATTACAGGGTATCAAATTCGGTATTTCTACATTATGTTAATTTAAAATTTGTCATTGACAGATTGTTTTTCAAAAATTCTTTTAATTCTGGTTAAATTGAACTTGTTTCAAAATATTTACAAAAATTCATTTATTTGAGAAGTGTACGACAACTCAGCGTGTTGACTTCTTTTGAGGAAAGCTATAATTAGGTGACTATTCTCCTTTTTTGACAGAAAATATAAATATCAACCCTATTAAATGCTTGTAAATTATTTTAGAAAATAACCCACCACACTTTGTTACGGCTTTTAGCATATTTAACCTTGAAGATGATGAATTAAAACTACATTATCACCATTTACGTCAGTGATATGACTATAGGGATCTTTCTATCCCAAACTTTCTTCTTTTGTCAGGTTCCTGTATGCCTTTGAATTTAATTGACGGTTCTTTTTATTTGATTTCAATGTGCAGCTATTCACTCGTTGAATATTTTTCTCTATTTGAATTCTTCGATTAGTTATTCTATAACTATCAATGATCAATTTGTTTATCATGCGGACTAGAGCTATAAAACTGATATCGAAATCTGCTCTCTAATTATGACATGTTCCATCATACAATCATTAGCATATAAAGACCACTCCTTGTAAATGGACCAAATATGGAATAACAAAGGCTTTGTAAGATACTGCCTTACAGGTTGAAATACAATAATTCCAAAAGATATTGGATTTGACCCTTCCTCAGGCCAAACGGAATGTTTGAAAATGAAAAAAAAAAGAAAAACATCTTTATGTAAATCGTGTGTAGAGTTGTTATGAAGGTACATAAGATTACATAGAAGGAACTTTTTTTTATTGCCGTCTTTCATCTTAACAGTTGCTTAAAGGATGAACTAAAAATTTAACATCTGATATTGGCTATATCATTAAGCCGGACTGGTGAATTTTTCAAATGAAATTACATCTTTCATGAAAAAAAAAGAAATGTGGGGCACTTTCAACTGATATAGCAACTACTGCATGATGACATAAAAAGGGAAAAAAAACATGTATATAATCTAAACAATACAACCCAACAAAATAATGAACCTAGAGCTGCTAATTTGAGACAAAAATAAACAAAATGCAAACCAATTTACAATTATTCAGTACACAAACACATGATGTTTATGGTTTAAGACAAGCCAAAAGGTTTTACAATTAGCAAATGATATGTTTTTCTCTTACAAAAACAAATTACGGCTGTTTTCTCTATTTCCCATTCCTTCTTATCTCGCATTGCATAAATATTATCAAAACAAAATTGTGTCATTTCTTCCACTAGTGAATTCAATTAATTTTATCAGCTTGTTTTACAAGAAAACAGAAAATAATCCTTCCATACAATTCTCAAAGGTGTGTTTGAATAATCAAACAGACCTAACTATTGTCACCTGTATAATTCATTATGAAGTAAAAACTTCTATCATTCCTCTCATCTTGACAGCAAACAAATTTTCCTTCTGTCCAATTTGTTTACTTAATTTATCAATCATCTGTTCTGTTAATGAAATTCTGACCAAGAAAAACACTTGAAATTATTTCTCAAATTACTTAAATGCCCAAGGGGTGTTATAAGTGATATTATCATCCCCTAAATATTGACTGGTCATTCTTCATTAATTAGGCATGGTCAGTTGTTGAAACCATCTGGTCAACAGGTCATTCAATACACAAATAATTATTATCATGTGGACTGACACTGATTCTTGGTGATATTGTTTAACTAACACCTGAAAAGATTGTTTATATTTATTTTCCACACCTCCTTGAAGCTTAAAATTGCTGACCAATTCAAAGCTTGTTTGACCAATAACTTACAAAAGAAATTTCTAATTCAACATCTGAGTATAGTATAGATATACAAGCTTTTATGGTTTGTAGATTAAATATTTTGGTTGTTTGTGGCTACTTAGAAGTTGAGATTATAAATCTGACACTCTATTGCAGCTATATATAGATACTGGGCTGAAAGAGGGGGTGGTGGGTGTATAAGGGTGAAGACCTCAGTCAGTGGATTTTGTTCTATTGCAGCTATATAGATACTGGTTTGAAAGAGGGCGGTGGGTGTAAAAGGGTGAAGACCTAATCAGTGGGTTTTGTTTTTTGTTTGTGTGCCTATTTATAAACAAGACATTTGGTCACAATGGTTGTATCTGAATATCAAATTGTTTCACAGGTTGTCTAGACTAGACTCTAGCAAAGGATCCCAGTTTTATATGAGGGTCTGGATTTGGGGGGGGGGGGGGTCTTTCATTTCTGCATTCTTTAATTCTTAAATTTTTTAGACCATTTTTCTCTATTCTTTATACTTTATGTCCACTAATCTCTTACCCTTTACATTTTAGAATCTCATTATTCTCTATTCTTTATTTTATTGGTCCAATTTTCTCTATTCTTAATATTTTTTGCCCATTATTCTCTATTCTGTAAACCCCAATCCACACCCTCTTATATACTAGTAACACTAGTTGGACTGAAATATTATAAAATAAGGCGATGAGGTATGGTTGCTTATTAGACAACAATTCAAGAGATTCCGAATAACATGGATTTTAAGCAATTATAGGTCAACATACAGTCGTCAACTATGAGCAATTCCCATATCGTATAGATAGCTTTAAAATTAAGGCATGGCAAAATGTGAAACAATTCAAACGAAAAAAACAAACAGCCTGATTCTCCCTTTATAAGAATTGATTTTGTTTGCTATGTTGCTAGACTTCTTTCTTTTGACTTTTATCGTATTGTGTCATCTTATTTAGATCAGTAGGTAGTCCCAGCCAAATATTTTGTCGTTTTAAAGCAAGTGAAATATTTTTGAGAAATCTGTTAATATAATTTATATTGTATCATATTTGATTAATGCTAAAAGTTTCAAGCTGTTG